CCTACGTCCGCTCCAAATTAATTATTAACTCGATGAGTTTGCTTGTTGGTGTTTGGCTGGCTGCTTTATTGTTGTGTAAAGTGTAGAGGTGATGCTGAGCTTATCTGCTTGGGATGAACCAATTTCTGGTTTGGAATGTTGTTGGGTTTGAAAGCACCAGAATATTAAGCTTGACATTATGTTCTTCTTCTTCTTTTCTTCTCCGGTGTGTTTAGACGAGGTTTGAATCCTTTAGATCGAAGGAGGTATTAACCATACTTTTTGTAAAGCCCACATATCTGTATTTAAATTTTATTGGTCTAATGTACTTTATGTTTAGTCTTCAAAGGAAATTAAATCTCTTGTTTTCATTAGATGTAAGTGGAAAATCCTAATGATTAAAATAAAGGCTTGAAAACTGTGTGCAATTAATCTATCTGATTAACTGCACAATTTTACTTAGTGAATTGAGATTTTGCGTTAAGTACCCCATCAATCCACTGTGATATGGAGTCGATCAGCCTCCTGCCTCAAGTCATCTTCATTCTTCATTCTGAGGTTTGGTGTCCTTCATTTTCTTTTTGACTAAACCCCATAGAGTGTTTATGGTGTTCAGCGAAGGCCAGTTTGCTGGACAGTCAAGCTTAATAACGCCGTGGCAGATGAGTTACCCTGGAAACAGCTTTTGTTATGTTTGGCAGTGTGGGTTGATACCAAGAGCTGCTGGAAAATGAAAAAGCTTGTCAGCAGAAGGAAACGTGAAGTCCTGTAATATTTTCTCCTAGACGGCTGCATTGAGCATAGATGTCAGAAAACCCAGTGGACCAACACCAGTTGACATGCCACCCCCCAAAGACCATCACTGACTGGAAACTTCCAACTGGACATCCGTGGATTCTATGGTGCTCCACTTTTTCCCAACAGACTCTGGCAGTCATGCACTAAAATGAAAATAATTTACAGCTTCCAGCACATAGTAACAAAGACTCCATTGTTAGACTTAATTCTTCTCAAATTAGCATCGGTTCTTGTTCGTTTAATGCAGAATGCATCCAAACGTTTCAGGTAAATGGACCTTGGGTACAGTTCACATTTGAATACTGAAACTGTCTATTGTATGTCATTCAGTATCTTCCAGATAAAGATGATTGTTGATTGAGGGAAGGAAGGGAGGAGAGAAAGAAGGAAGAAAAGGAAGGAAAGAAGGAAGAAAGGAAGGAATGAAAGAAGCAAGGAAGGAAGGAAGGAAAGAAGGAACAAAGGAAGGAAGGAAACGTAAACTGTTTTCTAATCAGTTTCACCAAGAATAAAAAAAAAATTAATTTCTGACAATTTTGTTTTACTCTATAACATTTTATTGGATGGATGGATGGATGGACACACGAGCAACCAAAAAACCATTGTAGTACTTGCCATATTAAAATGTACCAGTCGGGCTGCTCTGTGCCACTTATTTCAGGTAGAGCGTTAAACAAAAATGACCTTTTATTTCCCAATTATTATGATTACGCCACTTTCTTATTTCAATATTAGATTTAACATCACTGTTGTAATGTGACAGTGTATGAGTGTGAAAAAAAAAAACAACCAACAACTCAAGATAGGGTGTTAAAAACATCCAGTGATAAGAGCAGAAAAAAAATCGGTAACACTTCATTTGAAGGGGAGTGAATAAGACAGACATGACACTGTCATAAACATGACATAACACCTGTCGTGAACATGAAACAGCCTTCATGACTGTTGTCATAAAGCGTCATTCAGTAAATAATGTCAACTTTGTATTAAAAGTGTCATAATTTACCGAATAATGCTTTATGACAACAGTCATAAATATTCATGATGACTTTTTCATGTTCATGACATGTGTTATGTCATGTTTATGAAAGTGTCATGTCAGTCTTATTCACCCCCCTTCAAATAAAGTGTTACCAAAATATCTGTGATTTTTCAGTGTCTCAGAGAGTCATCGAGGAAGTCAGCGCGATTCAGGAGGACCTGGAGATTGAGAGGATGTGTCGAGAAAGTGCTGAAGCCCTGGCCTCAAAGGTACACAGTATCCCTACACAGATGTGTTGCTTCAGTTTTGTGTCACACTACTATAAATCTAATGAACAGAAATGTATTTTAAAACGTCCTGACCAAAGAAATAACGTAATCTAACTAACTCATGTCTTTGTTTACCTCAAGTCTGGGTTAAATGAATCATCCATAACACATTAAAGAAGCCTCCCAGGATGGCACTATGGTCAGTGTGTTGACATGAAGATTATTCTACTGAATCATACATGTTGCAATCAGAAGCGCGTTCGTCAACAGCACATCTTGTGGGTGAAAATTGCCCCGGTTCCTCAGAGCAAGCTTGTTGGACGCTTCCCATTGTGGACTGTGATTGAGTGTGAGGGAGCCACACATAGTGATTTTGTAGCCCACTGGTGCAGAGATTATAACTGTAATCATTTCTTATTCAATTTTTGTACAAAAGCCCCTACAGTCCACCTTGCCGGACCAAATTTGGGGTAGTGGGAGACTGCTGGTGAATTATGGTGAAGGTCAAGTTTTAGGCTTTTTTTTTTCAGCTTCTTTTTTTTTCCTTGCTACTTGAACTTTCAGTGTCTTTTCATTCTGCTTGTTTGGATCTTTATAATTTATGGAAAGTAGCACTTTTATCAGCCCGTTTATAAAGTAGGCTGTTTTCTGTATTCCAAAAGCTGTTTTTTGGGGTTTTTTTTTGCATATCAATATTTTTAGTGCAGAAATTTCTTTTAAAATAAAACTAAACATACACTCTTTTTAGTTTCTGTTTTGCTGTTCTTATCACTACATATATTTTGAAAAATCAGGACTGGAGGAATCCAAGTCAATTGGAGAAAGCCCAGACGGAGATGTAAGAGAGATTAGAGTCGAGCGGAGTTCTGTAGGATGGGAAGGACCAGGCTTCTCCAGTATAAAACTACTTTCCTTTCATTGCATGCTACTAAAAATAGCTTTGACACTGAGACAGGGCACCAGATAAAGTTGTTGTTAGGGACACATTAATCTACATTAAAGCAAAAAGAGGAATATCCCAAAGCGATTTGGAAAAGAAATGTAATAATTAATCTGAGTTGAGTTCAGTAAAAACAAACAAACAAAAAAAAACAACTGAATGAATGTTTAAGAATAAACATTGTTACTTATTTATAGTTCAAACCGCCTGAACTGTATATTTTTCAAACATTGTCAGTGTGTGGAAGATAAAAAAAACAAACTCAAAGATTTTGAAAAAGTTCTAAACATTTTTAATGCTTGAATGTTTAGCTTAGGGCTCACTCACCTAAAACTCAGTTTACTAAAAATGAATAAAAATCTCTACTCTTATGTAGAATGTCTGAGGTAATGACACATTTCCAGACACAGAGGTGATGCTTTGAGAACGTTGATCACAGTACATTCCTTCCAAATCATCTGAAAATGATAAAAGAAAAAAAACAAAACAATTTTAGTAAATACTGACTGCAGTGGTAAACCATCTAATGTCTCTCGAGAATTAAATATTTTCTGAGAGTTCTACAAACAACTGTTCTCAAATAGCACTGATTCCTCTGATGCTGACAGATCATTAAAAAAATCCTCAAATAAATGAGTCCAATACTTTTGGACAAACATAGTAATGTCAAAAATAATTTTTAAATCACACCTTAAGCCTGATGGTGAAAGCGCTCATTCTTGTCATACATGGAAAATGCTGGAGGTTTTAAGCACTGAAGGGAGGGGAGGTTTCATTACCAACCATAATTACAATTTCTTTGATAGTCGACGTCTCGCCACAAAAATCTTTGCGAGATCCTGACTGCAGTTCTTCTGATTACTGTAGTCAGCTGTATGTTGCTATACTTCCTCTACTAATTTACCGTTACCCTTCAGTAAGTTTGAATTTAGAGCATATTTAGAATATTTAAAGGCATTAATGTTGGAAAATACATTTTTATATAAGCATAAAAATGCCTCCTTCAGACTGCAGAGCAGGGGTGTATCCAGAAAGTTTTTAAGGTGGGCCAGTGACGATGTTGGGGTGTCACACCAAAATAAAAACCCAGACAGGAAACAGGGCTGGGATACCAGGAGGGTCGTACCTGACCTAAGAGACACATATCAGTCTCATAACATGAAGACATAAAAAACATACAGATATTTCTCTTATTTCTTAAGTGATTAATTCAAAGCAAAAATATGATTCTCATCAGATTAGATTGGAGGGGATCTAATCTGAATGGATTTATTATATTTTTCTGAACCGAAACCATAAATAAAAAAACATTTATTAGCACACAGTGCCTACATCAGATTACACAAAGTTGAGAAGATACTTTTATATTTGAAATAGCTATTTAACGACACACATCAGCACTTACCTCCAAAGTCAACACTAAAATGAAGGGAAATGAAGAAAGAAAAAGGAAATATACCTATGTTAAAAAAAACAACAACACAATAATGATCAGAAGGATCCTACATCTGTACCAGAGCAGTTTATCAATATACAATACATAAATAATGAATAAATATATATTTTTAATAAAGTTTATATTGAAATTTTACATTCAAATCTTATATTTTTATGTTTCACACTGTTAGTAGTGCCAGAGAGAAACAGTTTGTGAATTTGCCAGGTGAATTCACACTGCAACAGCTTCACAGCTGACATATGTTACTGCGTTAGATAGTACAATAACATAATCAAAAACAACATTAAATTTTGAGGCAAAGTGATATAATTCTTAAGTCTGTAGATAATAAGATTCAGATATTGAGCTCAGATTCAAACCCATTGATCACCAAAACTAAGCGAACTGTAAAAAAACGTAACTACAAACATAAGATTTCCGTATCACGTTGTCACCGTTACACAAAACATATTTAAGTCAATCCATAAGGTCCAAGTCGCCATAGAAAATGACAAACAAATTAAACTCGCAGTAAATCTCTTCATACTCAATGACGGTAGGTTATTTCTTAGAACCCTGGAAAGATGCTGAGACTGAGTGAAATTTCTCGACACTCCTACGTTCAAATTAAAAAAAGTAGCTGCAAGGGAACATCAATTTAAAACTGGAAAGATGAAGACGTGGTTTTGACGCTTAATGTTTTTGAGGCATTGTGTAATCAAGATGAAGGGGCTGTTGCTTCATAATAGTGACCTTCGGAGAGAGCAAGCCACTGCGATGTCAGTCTGGATTCATCTGAGTATGTAATTTATATGGGCATCTGTGCTGAGCTGTTCAATTTTGTTGAAAGAATGCAATTCCATGTTATGTATTGCTGATTGCGTTTCAGGGGAAAAAAAAACAAAACAGATGCAGTCTGAAGGGTGTCATCAAAAGAAAGATTTGCTGCAATCTGCTCTCTACGGGATGCCATTGATAATGCTTTTTATTTTATTTATATTTTGTTTATTTACTTTTTTGTGTCCTTTTCTTTTTTCCCACTTCTTTCTTCAGATGACATCTAGATGCATAATTTGCACTCCTCTCCCTCAGATGAGCCTCATGACGGCTGTGCTGAGGGTCTTTGCTTTGTTGATACATTTGATCGACTGGTGGACGACCTTTCAAAAGGGCAATCATCGCTCTCACAGTTAAACATCATGTCAAATGGACAAAACACAAAGAAAAACATGGCTAAAAATGTTCCGCAAGAGCTTTGAATAAACACATTTAATTCAGTCACATCAATTATTAGAACTATACAGATAAATGTGCACTACTGTACCGATGCCTCTTCTGCCATCAAGAATGACTGACATACATATATCTATATGAATGTGCGTGTTTGAATATGTTGAATGAACCTTGAATATCCTGAGTAAAAAAATTAATATATATTGAAAGAAAGTTTGAATATGTTGAATAAATGTCAAATATACTAAGTGAAAGTTTAACCTGTCATTCACTAGAGGACCCAAATTTGGGTCCTCTAGTGACAGGGGTGTCAAACTCCAGTCCTCAAGGGCCGCTGTCCTGCAACTTTTAGATGTGCCTCTGCTGCACCACACCTGAAAATAATAATTAGGTCACTAGCAAGGCTCAGGAGAACCGATCTACACAGGGAGGAGGTAATTAAGCCATTTCATTCCACTGTTTTTTACCTGTGGCACATCTAAACAACTGCAGGACAGCGACCCTTGAGGACTGGAGTTTGACACCCCTGTCATTGTGAATGACAACCTGTGAACAACAGGTTAAGTATTTAGATGAGAGTTTGAATATATTGAATGAACCTTGAATAGGTAGAAATTAGTGCTCTTGGAAATGGAGAGTTTTGTTAGGTTTTTGAATTCTAGTTCTGATATGAGTGAGGATCTTTATATATATATATATATATATATATATATATATATATATATATATATATATATTTTTTTTTCAACCAACTGGAATGCGTTGATGTTCCAAAGGACTTTCCTGGTGTGAAAACAAAAATACAATGAGATTTGATTTCTTTTTTGTATTGTGACAAATAGAAGAAAGTATGCAAACAACCATTGTTCTTGTGTTCTCTCTGCAACGGAAGTTAAAACGTGAAAACCGCTCTCTGAAGAGGAAGAGCATGATGATGATATCGTACCTCAGCCCAGAAACCATCAAAGACATCAACCTGGAGGAAGAAGAGCAAGATGGCGATGAGGAGAAAGTTAGGGATGAAGAGGAGGAACAAGAATCCGCTGCCAGAGTTTGCCTCTCCGCCGACTGCACTACCTTCGTCTCAGGTAGATCATTTCTTCAGCTTTGAATCAATCTGCATTAACTTCATGTTTAATAAAATCAACAAAGACAGAAATCTCAGAAATCTGAGTTTCAGCAAAACTTTCAAAAGTGTTTCTTTTTTTTTTTACCACTTATCTGCTAGAAATGATTAAAAAGTACTGGTCATGATCAAAATTTATAGGAAAAAAAACAAACAGATTTTATATAAAGTCCACAGTACAAGGTGTGTTTATTCACAGAAAATCCTTGATCATTTAAGGGGAATGCTGAAAAAGAAAACTGCTGTGGGTGTTGAGAAGCAATACCATTCGAAAAAGCTTGGGCATTATTGCAGCAACAGTATTTCTCATTGGAATAGTTAAGAAAATTACCAACATTGTGCAGCATAGCTTGTTAAGTGGCCAGTTAGCACTAAGCAACTTGTATCAGATAAATTTGTTCATGACAAAATAAAGGTGCTCATGACTCCAGAGGGAAAAATAAAATTCCACCAATAAAGTTCTGGAACAAGCTGATTTGCTCAGTCTTCAGACTGAGCAAACAAAGTCCAGTCGTCCTTCCACTACATGCGTGTTGAAGCAGAGGGTTAACTTCACAATCAAAGCTGGTAATTAATCAATTTTTAAAAGCATTGGGATCGACTAATTTCTGGGAAAAGATAAAAAGGCAGGGCAATTACCTGATATTATACTAGTCAGAAAATTTATAGTATTTTCATCCAAATTATTATGTCCAGGGTGTATTATAAGCCTGGCGGGCCACAAGGCTTTACATGTGCCCCCACCAGGCTAAGCATTGCTTATTTATTTAGGTCTTTTTAAAATGTTTGCATTTTTAAGACTTTATAGTTGGTGTTCAAATATTAATCTTTCAATGACACATAATTATCAAGTGAAATTTTCAAATTTCCTCTCAACTTTAAAATTTTTTTTATCTCAAAACCACGACGGGCCGCTGGATGAATGACTGACCTAGTGCCAAACCACCAGGCTTAGCAAGTTTTCTGGGGGAAACCTTGACGTTCATGTTTGTTTAAAATCACCATCAATCTGAAAATGATGTTTACTTTGTTATTGTTTCAGAGCTACAAAATAAGTTGGAATTGACACTTAAGGAGAAAAATGAAGTCATCTCTAATCTTGAATCCACGAGACAACAACTAAAGACTGCCTGTGACGAAGTAAGTTTAAGATTTCTAATAGTTTTATACTTTGCAGCATCCTGTAAGGAGAATATTTGTCATAATCGAAGCGGACTGAGTGACACGCCAGCTTGGCTCGCTTTGCAAAAACAGCTTTTAAAATAGGCCAGCGTCGTCTCTTCAAGGAGAAGTAAGAGGACATTCGATACTCAGACAGTGGATCACACTCTGTCTCCTGTGTCCACCTTTCTAAAGACTGCCATTTTATTAATACACATAAAAAAGAATTTGTTTTCAACAAATTCTTCTTGAAATGTGGCTGAATTGTTTCTTCTCTTTTTCTTATTTGCTGTGGCTCTCAAAAGTTCATACGCACTGTTAAATTTTCACATATTAGTGCCAAAAAAAACGTGTTCAAAATATTTTCTCTTGAAACAGTTGTGCAGTTCAACTGAAAAACAGATAAATATGTTCAAGGGGAGGTGCAAAAAACTTCAAAAAAAAGCTGCAGAAACTAGATTGAGTGTGCACACCCTTAAGCAAAAGTTAGACCATATTTTTTAAGCAAATTCACATTTGTTTTTTTAGTTTTTTTACTTTTAAGTCTTCTTTGATTACAGTCTGTCAATATTCTCCCACTTGGGCTTGCAAAAGTTTTCAAAAACTGTCTGTGGTTTTCTTCAGGTGAATCCAATGATCTGATTTTTTTCCCTCTGGCAAACTGAGTCCTGTGACACAGTTTCTGTCCTGTCTTTTCAATAACTAGAGAATAGGTAGATTTTGTAATGTCTATTGTCCAACTGCTTATTCTACTGCATAAAGAAGGCCTATCAAAAGTAAAGCTCACATGTAGTTTTTTTTTTGTTTTTTTGCCACTGTCATCCCCCTCTGAGCTCCTAGAATCCCTTGTGAAAGTATCTTTGGTAATATGTTTTCATTTCAAGTTGATTTTACCGCAATAGCAAGATTTTACACTGCTGGGAGACCCATGTTGTATATTCTACTAATTCAAAGATGAAAAGGAGTCGGACGGATTATTCAGACAAACTTTAGTGAAGAAAAAGGATGAATGAATCATACATGATATGATAGATGACAGAGTGTCACAGAAAACACAGCTCTTTCAGGAAAACCCCTCCATATTTGTTTTTCTTCTTCTAACTTCTAGTTCTAAAGCGTCATGGGATATATAGTCCATTCAATTAAAGGTCCACAAATGGTCAGTTTTGAACCAAATATGAAATACTAACTAGATCTATGAAATAACAATTACAACTCAAGTAGTTGCTTAAATATTAAACTATAATATCCCAAATAATAAGCCATAAACTACCAAACAAATTCTCAACAACCTATTGAGACTTTAGGTCCAGGACGTATAGACAGAAATGTTTTTCATTTAAATTTACAAAGTTATGTTTTATCTTTTTGAATCCTGTGCGCTTCGTATATGAACTTTCTTTCTGTTATCTTTACCTTCACAGTGTTTGACAAAAGGCTTTTAATCTGTCACACATCTAGATTAATGTCTGACTTTTAATGTCAGTTTCACTTTAAGAGACAACACTGTAAAATAGTGACATAGACAAAAGAGACAAATCCATTTCATTTTCTTTCATAATGTTTTAATTTTATTTATTTATTTATTTTGCAGCTCATGAAAGAGAAACACAACAACACGGATTTAATTGCTGAGCGTCTGCAACAAAAGAAGCTCCTGGAGCATTACAGCAGAGGTTAGAGAGCCGTCCATGCTGCAGAGATGCTGCAGTATCATTATTCATGCCGTGTGTGAAAAGATGTAAACCCTTTTAGGGTAAGGAATAAACATTATTCGCCTCATTGATTTGCAAAAATTACCTATTTTGTTATGAACACACGTTGCGGGTCGCATATAGTTCAACATTTTCTCCTCTCGTTATTCACATTCACCCACAGCAACAGTAAAAGGACACAGTATGGAGAGAAAATGTCCTATTCACACAAAATGAACCGTTACGGGAACTTTGGCCTGATTCACAGGGGTCACTCTTTATTTAATACGTGTAATTTTGAATGTGACATGTGACATTACGTTTCTTCGAAATGCATTGTTCCAGAGCTGAGGTATTGAATCAACATTATTGCCACTGTCAACATCTAAATAATTATCTTTGCCTTCACCTGGTGCCTCCGCTCCGCTTTGCAGTCATCTGTGCATGAAGGAGAGAGACAGTGATCGGTGGCTCTGGATGGGCGATAAATGATGCAGAATTTTCAGAGCAAACATTTTTAGGTAACTTATAAGTCAGTCTGAACTTCCACACATCTTCTGCTTTCTGTCATTTCTGCACAGAAAGCAGAAGACGGACTCCAAAGACTCTCTTTTTATTTAGAATTATATGAGAAATAATCCCACTCTAACTTGTATGTGAAAGAATTTTATCCAGAGTGAGACAGAATGTTTTTTGTAATGTACGCTTAAATGCAGTAACTGAGCAAAAAGCTGTACTTCAAATCCCATCGCTGAAGCGTCTACATTCAGAGCAAAAGGAATCCTCAAGCCTTTGCTAAAGGCTGGCAGGTTGCTAAAGCAGAAATATCCAACAGGTTATTCAAAGCGCTGGGTGAGAGTCGGTTTAAAATATTACCGTCTGTAAGAAAGGGCTTTTCACTCTGAGTGTCAGAGTAGCACTCGTAGCACTGAGGTATTTATGAGTGGACAAATCTGCTATTGAAGCTTTGAAATCAGTAACACAAAAGTATTCAGTCCTCTTGGAATTTTTTGTTTTGTTTTATTTTACAAGCTGTATTTAAATGCTTTTAAAATTAAATTGTTTATGAAGCATCTGTACAAAATATTGTACATTAACTCAGTAAAAATAAGCACATATATATACAGCTGTGGAAAAAATTAAGAGGCAACGTAAAATGATCAGTTTCTCTGGTTTTACTTTTTGTTTTATGTTTGAATAACATGAACATTGTTCTTTTATTCTATGAACGACTCACATCTCTCTGAAATTCCAAGCAAAAATCTAGTATTTATTTGCAGAAAATGAGAAATGGTCATACGTATATGATATTTACATATCATGCTGGACTTTGCTGCTTGTACAAAGTGACTGAGGTGTCTTTCATTGGGATTTAGCAATATGTAGTTTAACAGAAAATTAAATGTGTAAATGTCTTAATATCAGTTTCTCAGTTTGCTGTGGAAGAATACGAAGCTTTGCAGCACACCCTGGACCTGGAGCAGAACCTGAGGACAGAGGCAGAAAACTTTGCCAGAGACGTGAGCCCGCACTCTTTTGTCATCTGCGACGTTGTGTTCCTGAGTCTTATCTATTTTATGCTGTTGTTATTTACTTATTGGTGTGTTCAGATGCTGGTCGAACAGACAAAATTGAAGCGGCAGAGTCAGATCCTGCTGCAGAGCTGCATGCCCAGCCCAGCTCTGCAGGATGTGGTCAGTCAGGTGACCGCTCTGACTGAACAGATGGAGACCCAGAGGCTGCAGCATCAGAACCAGGTCCGATCCGAACCGCAAAACACTTTCCACAAAAACGAATCTGCTTGGAAAATAGAAGCTGTGTTTTTGCATGTTGATCTTTGTCTTCTTAAAATTTGTTTGTGTTTTTTTTTGTTTTTGTTTTTTTTTACATGTTGGATGAAATTAAACTTATATGTTTAATTTCTGTTAGGATACCAAACCTGTCAGCAGAGATTAAGGGCTGGTAGCTTGTCATCTAAAGCTCGTTTCACATCAGTTGACATCTGTGGATAATGTAAAGCTGTTACAATTCTTTGGAAAGGGAAAAAGTCGTATTGTGTATAATTGTCCTAAGAATCAATCAGGAAAAACTGCCAACTCTAACTGTAGTGAAAACTAACACAAATAATGAAAAATGAAATACAAGGATATTTACAGTATCTTATTTGTTCGATTTAATGATATGGTTTTAGTTAAAATCCATGAGCAATAACACCAAATTATACATTTGAACTTTAGCTTCATAGTTCTTATAAATAAGAAGCTACGTTCTTATGAATAAGAACTTAGCTTCTTACAGATAAGAAGTTAAATTCTTGTTCAAAAGGACAAGAAAGAAGCTGAATTATTTCTTAGTTCTTCAAGCTAAACTAGCTTAAAGAACTTCTTTAGGTTAGCTTGCTAAGTTAGCTTGTTCTTGACTAACTTTGCTTTAGCAGCCCAAAGGGTACTTAGCTTAGTAAGGCTGCTTACCAAGCAGCCTTCTCAGGAGATACAGTTTTAGAAATCAAAGTGGCCCATGGCATATTTTACTGCAGGTGAACTGGCTTCTCTCTTTTGGTATTTAGTATGGAATATGAGAAAAGGAGTTACAGCACATGAAAATAAAACAAATACTGACATTTATTATTTTAATGTAACCAGAACTTTGAGCTTTATCTTTCTTATTTCTGGTTACCTTCCTTCCCTCATTAGTTATAGTTAGGGGGGATAAATTAGTTAATTAGACACTCGTCCCATTATGTGGTGAAAAATAGGCCAATTAATATTGGTTAACACTTAACCCGAAGTTCATTAAACAGTTGTTTTATATTTTGTGACTATTCTTTAGCCTGACTATAAATATGGTTTATGTTTGGTCACCAGATCAAGCAGATGGAAGAAAAACTAAAGACCTGTGAAACACAAAAGGAACTAACAGCATTAAAGCTGAAGCTGGAGCTCCTGGAGGAGGAAAAGGAGGCGTGCCGTATCCGCTGCTTTAACGCCGAACAACAAGTCAAAGATCTACAGTTTACAAGTAAGAACCTTAAGAAATGTGAAATCTGAGAGTCAGTGGAGTCCAGCACACAAGCTGCACCGCAAAGCACTGACAACTGCACAGCTTTAGCCTTTGAGCAGACTGCAGTAGTATTAGGAAATGGATGGAGGCTTGCTTGTGTTGGACATAAGCACAACATTTTCTGCTGTGGTATTCATGTAGTATTACATTCTGAAAAGTGTATTTGGGCTGTAGTTTGTTTTATTAACGTTAATCTCACTTAATGTTTTGGTTTAGTGATGACAACTTACTTTTTTGTGTTCATTTAACTTAAAACTTTTAGAAAATTAAGTTGGATAAACTTAATTGAATTCCTTGTAACCAACTGAAGCAATTCAATTAAGTTGAACCAGTTTCTTTTTACAGTGCAGTAAATTAACTCCTCCCATTTGTGTTGCAGAAAAATCCTTAAATTCTCCAAAGATCTAGTTTTACTTAAAATGGGACTGTTTTCATTCCCTTGTTCCTACACTTGCAGCTGTTCCTAAATATTTTGTGTAATTCTTTGTGCTTGATTGGCCAGTTGAGCAACTCCAGAAGAAGCTGAACGCTGCCACCAACCCACCCCCAGCACCTCCACCTCCACCTCCGCCCTTACCTCCTGCAGCCCCAGAGTCGACCTCTAACCCTCTCAGGTTAGATTTTTTTTTTTTTTGTCTGAACATCTGTATTTGAGAAGTTGTTGAGGAATCAACTTATATAATGTAATAAATGCAATGAAATGTTTAAATAGAAATATATTTACCAATGAAAACTTTTTGATTAGGTTATTTTACATGATTCTAGATCTGACAATCTAGAATGGAACTACTTTGTTTCAGCGCCGATGAAACAAAAATGTTTTTCCAGGGCATTTTGAATTAAAAAAAAAATCTGCTCTAATACAAATATTGCATTTTATTCTAAGATTTTTGCTTTTTTCCCCCCCCCTACAGCTCATTGCTGTCACTGATTCGAAAGAGAAAGAACGTTAGCCATGACGTCCCATTGGTGGAGCAGGACTCAGCCAAGCCTGCAGGTACACAGCAAACATCTACACACCGCCTGCTTCATTTTATGTCACAAGGTCATTCTTATTTTGGAAAGTATGTCTGCAGTGTTGCTACAAAGTATTCACCCCTTTCATGATCCACAGAGTGGATGAAAAATGAGGAAAAAAAGTGAAAAAGGAAATCTGGTTTCTTCATAATGATGGCAATTAAATAAAAAAAAATTCACAAAAATTAACAGATTGCTGGAATATTAAACCCCCTTTAAAAAAAACTGGCAGAGATAGTGCCAACTAGTGGTGATAGTCACACAATGAGGGGAATGGAGATGAGTTGAGAGCAGCGAATGTGTCTCAAATTATTGCAGTCTAAGTTCTGCTGGTTCTGGAAGGACCATTCCCTGGTTAACCACTAGAGCAGGAAGACTAAAGTACGTTCCAACCAATCCCAGAAAAGGTTATTGAAAGCTTTAAGTCAGGGGATGGACACAACAAAATCTGAGCACTTCGTATCTCAGGTAGTTTAGTGAAATCCATCAAGATATGGAAGGAGTATGTCCCAAGGTTCCCAAGGTCAAGTGGAAGAAAGTTGGTCCGTTGGGACCAAAATAGAAGTTTTGGCCATCAGACAAGACGTCTATGTCAAACACTACACATCACCGAAATCACACCATCCTTCCTGTGAACCATGGCAGCAGTAGCATCATGCTGAGGGGGATCCTTCTGAGTAGCAGACCCTGGAAGACTTGAGAAGGTAAAACAAAAGCAGAAACAGCCAGAGAACTGCGACTTCAGAGGACATTTGTTTCCCCAGCAAGACACCAGGCTTTCACCTAAAGTTAGACAGAAATGATTTAAATACAACAAGGTGGATGTGCTGGTGCGGCCCGGTCCGATGGAGAAGTGGTGGTCTGTTCACTGGCGATCCACAGGCAGCCTGACGGAAAGCGTAGCGTGAAGAATGGAGGGAAAGTGCAGAGTTAGAGAGTCCACTCTGACCCCCTGCTGGGATGGCAGCCAGAGGAGCTAAATACCAAATTAAAGAGGGAAAATATTTCTACAAAATATTTGTCATTATTTTGTAGAAATCAGTTTTGCTTTAACAATAAAGTGTTACTTTTTAGACTTTTTTTTTTGTCAAAAAAGCCAAAGTTTGTTATTCATGACTGATTTGTCAAAGCAATATTAATAGTGTAACATCCAGGGGTGAATATTTTTGTATGTGCTTGATTAAAAAGGAAATGTTTATTTTACTGTTTGCATAGGAACATATCCTTGTTCACATCTCTATTATGCCACACATTTAGTGGTGATACTTCAACTCCAGGATTACAACTATTCATAAGAGAGTCCACACACTATAACATGGACTTCTCGGGACCTAGCGGCAAAATGGTCAGATAGTTTTATACCACGATGCAGATTTTCAAAAGCTGGTGGAAAATGCCGTTGGGTGACTTTCTGAATTTGATTAACAGGTTAACAAAATTTCAGCGTTGAAAATATTCGCAGTTTTCTTCGCCCCTTTGACTTTTTTTTTTTTTTTTAGATCTCTGCCTTTCGGGGAAAAAATCAACTCCTCTGTGCCATTCAATGCATAGTGGGGGGCATATAACAGCATTTTATGATACATTTTCTTTTTTTGCCTTCTTTTAAGATTACTAATACTCTTTCAGCTGCTTTAACCAGAAGCCCACTTTGTGTACAAAGGTTTATTATTCAAATTAAGTTCTCAGTTTTTCCCTGGATTGTATTCTGTCTGTATGGCATAACTGGTTTAAATACTTTAAGGTGTTTTTTCATTTTACCTACGATCTTTGAAAAATGAAAGTTTCTTATTAGGACAAAATGTGTAATTTAAAAAAGGTTTACGATGCCATCCTTCTCAAAATCTGCATGTTTGACCTTCTCAGTTAACAATTTGAATTCTTTAATTTGTGAATTTAAATTGAAGCCTTGACTTGTCGAAGCAGGTGAGTCGTCCGTGTTGACTAAACAGATTGAGCTGAGTCCTCATTTTGTCTAATAGTGATCAAAAATGTGAGGTCTGAATTGAGCACCAGGCACACATTATTTTAAAATTACATACGAGATTGAATAGGCACCAACCAAGGATCTTCTGCTCTGACTCCTGAATAATGGTTTCATTTTAAGCACTGAAGGAAAATATTTTGTTATTACTTTAACACAAAATTGTTTTTATGTAACATTTTTAAAAGACATCTCTGGAACAAATGTTCGATTGTGAGTGCCGCTGAATGTTCCATTTTAGAAAATTAAATATTAACATCCTTTTTTTGTGAATGGGCAGAGTTTTTGGCTGAAATAAATTATTTGTTCTCATCTCCTTCAGCCTCTCCTTGAAAAACTTTTGTATGGAAAATTGCATATTCGCGTGTGCTTTTATATGGAGAGCCATTCTTGGCTAAGTTTGCTAACCTCAGAAATTCCCATTTAACAGAGTCTGAACTGTGATTACTGCTAAATCAGTTGTCATGGTAACAGTTATGAAATTTCCCATGATTACAGCCGAGTTCAACATCAAAAATAATTATATTACAAACGGCCAAAAAGATGCAAGATTAGATTGTTCACCAACCTTTCATTCTAGACCTTGTTGAAAACTTAATGAAAAGTTCTAATACTGCTAATATCTTTTAGAAATGAAAAAAAAAAAACCACTTTTAATCTAGGGTCCTTCAGTCATGTTCAATAAATTTCAGTATTTATGAAAAGCTCAATTATTTCAGTATTTTAATTTCCTAAGTGACACACAATTTCATGGAGATTGATGTTTTCAATCCTTTTTTTATTATAATAATTTTCTTCTTACAGCCAATGTATTGCTGCAAGATGCATTACATTGTTGTCTTGTCCTTTCAAGACATTGAAAATCAGTATATAACATCAGTCTAATAAAAAAAAAATTAATACAGTCATGTTAGCTTAATGAAAAGTATGTTTAACACCTGCTTAAAGTTTTGTTTTTATAAAAGATACTTTTAATTTGGCAATCGAGCCTCATCAGAACCTTTATTTTAATATATTTTATAGGCTGTATAGATAAGGACATGGTAAATATTAAACAAACAACACTTCTACACACGTTCTACAAAGCCATGTCAGGATCATATCAAGGTCACATCAGGGCACATGTGGCCCTGATGTGACCTTGATCAGGGTTACATCAAGGCTACCTCAATTCACCCACCTGCTCTGTAATCAATTCTTCATGTTGCCACAAGATGGTCCAATCAGTGAGCGTCGGTTTTAAGTTCAGTCCGGCTCAGGTCCTGGTGAGAGGCATTCAAGAGATCACAGAATCCCACTTTACTGTTTAGTGGCGAAGGATTAGTAAAGTGCAGTTCTGCTGCTGCATTTCAGATGTCTGGGCCGAGCTGCAAAGATGCATGTGAGCAAGTTGGCCAAAAAAAAAAAAAAACTCGTTCAGTTCCACCAGTTGTGTCTGGAGCAATGGGCTGAAATCTTAGCAGACTTTTATGAAAAGCTTTTGAAAATATACTAAAAGCATTTCACCCAAGTCATACAACTGAAGAGGTAATTCTAACAAACGCCGAAGAAAACTTCAAATAAGTTTTTTGTTTTTTTTTTGGAAAGATTTGTGTGACTTTATGCCAAATAATGTGGACAATGTGGTTTCTCTTTCTTTGGGGCGTTTAAACATCTGACATCAAATGTAGGACATTGATCTAAAGATCATGTTGTATTTTTATCTCTCTAATTATATTCATTATTAACACTAACTCTATAATAGTTTTCATGTCCATATATTCAGTAAAAGCTACACATTTGAAATGTTTAGCTGCTGGTAGTGAAATGTGACTCCTGTGTTCATCTGTCACTGCAAAGGAGACATCCGGCACCAGGCTGTGGAGGAAATGATGCAGAGAATTAAAAAGGGAGTTCAACTTCGACCAGTGAAACAGTCACCAAACAGAAGTGAACCAAAGGTAACAACAGCCTATGAGGCCTTTATGCTAACATGATCCATTCTCTTTATATTTACATTTCAAAATCAATTTGTTTTCAGTTGCAAATGTTGTGAATTCATGATGAAGCACCTGATTGCAGAAACTGATACAAGGGAGGTTGAAGCTAGTAAGAGTCAAAATTATTAGCTTGTAAGGCTTCAAAAGTAGAACCTTGCATCAAATTTGGATTTGGTATCTGACTGATACAGATAAATGTACGCAGCATGACACATGACACACACACACACACACACACACACATTCACACATGGAAATAAACACATAGGCACGCCACGCTGTGGACTCTCAGCTGAACTGACAGGACTGCTGCTTTGGTGCTTCATAGGCAGTGAACCGTCTGACTGGGCCATTTTGATATTTTGCATAATTAGAGGAGAAATGAGCAGCCACTCCAAATTTACAAAAAAAATGAAGGAGGAGCTAACTAAAAAAACTTAAAAACAAAAAGGTTAATGTAGGATGCACCCAAATGTGCATTGGGCCAGAGATGACATTGGACCAAACAACATTATCCCGTCCCAGATTGGCACATAATGTGCTTGTTTGTTAAAACGGACCAGGTAAACTGTCTTCAACAAGAATTTATAGACACTGATGAGCCAGAAAAGGGTAGAATGCCTCCTCCGGGTCAGAGAGAGTGTCCTGCCTCAAGTGGAGAAGTTTAAGTATCTCGGGATCTTGTTCACGAATGAGGGGAAAATGGAGTGGGACGGATTGGCGCAGCGTCCGCAGTGAAGTAGGCACTGTGCCGGTCTGTTGTGGTGAAGAGAGAGCTGGGTCACAAAGCGAAGCTCTCGATTTACCAGTCAATCTACCTTCCCTCATCTATGGTCATGAGCTTTGGGTCATGACTGAAAGAACGAGGTCACGGATACAAGCGGCTGAAATGGGTTTTCTCCGTAGGGTGTCTGGGCTCTCCCTTAGAGATAAGGTGGGAAGCCTGGGCATCTAGGAGGGACTCAGTGGAGCTGATGCTCCTTCACGTCAAAAGTTGAGGTGGCTCGAGCATCTGGTTAGGTGCCTCCTGGACGCCTCCCTGGTGAGACGTCCCAGACACGTCCCACTGGGAGGAGGCCCTGGGGAAGATCCAGAACACGCTGGAGGGACGATGTTTCTCGGCTGATCTAGGAACGCCTTGGGATTCCCCCTAAGGAGCTGGCCTGACCTGAGGTGATAATTGCATGAAGTGTTATGAAAACCATGCCCTTATTTTCAAAATTGTGACTAAAAGAATTGTGAACATTATTTTTGGATAGTTACATAAAGAAAACAAAAATAACAAGAAACCACTCTCATTGCACTCAGTGTCCTTTTGTGATCAAGTTGATGATTAAAGCACTTGAGGTGTTAAGTTTTCATCAGCAGGCCTTTGTGAATAAAAATGGGCCAGATTTTTTTTTTTCCTCTGATTTGTTTATCCTTTAGTTTGTGTTAGACCCAATTGGTAGTGTGTCCTCAAACTGAGTGAATTAACATGGTCAAAATGGGTTTCTTTGTAGGATTTAGTTAGGCTGAGGACAGAGAGAAAATAGAAAGGTAGATTCTACAGGATCATGGTGAAATTCATGGGCAGTCTTCTGGGCTTGGAAATAATTGGAACGCTGGAAATTTTTGTCATTGGGATTTTCAGTGTTTTATCTTTCAGTCAGCTTATAACTTGGTAGATTGTACCAGTTCCGTGCTGTACATTCTGTGCCACCTGCATTCCTAACACAGACTCATTGTAGCTTCAGATCCACCTCTGAAATTTATATCTGATGCAGACATGGGCAGAGTTTTACAACAGAAAAACATTTAAAAATCAGACGCATGACATTTACTACAACGCACGTTCAAACAAGTCGCGGTTCTAACTTTCATTCAGATGACGAAGCATGAATTTATTTCAGAGCAACAAGACGTGTCTGCTATTCTGTGTCTTTACGCTCAAAAGATTTTTTTTTCTTTCACACTAAAACTGACATCGATGGTCGTGAGTTTGAAGGACAACTTTACCAAATGCAGAATACATTAAACACTAAACACGGACATGGGAAATGGAGCATTGTGATTGGAACAGAAAATGTCTTTGCTGCTAAAATCACTGAAGTGTACCAGCTGCAGATATAAAGTGTTCTTAAGCCTGTTTTTTTTTTTGTTTTTTTTTGCTCGTGTGTGCGCCCATGTGTGTGCGTGTGTGCATGTGTGTGTGTGGGTGTGTGTCTCCGTGTGTGTTGAGCATACAGTATATTGTTCAGTGCTCTCAAATCCATCAGTGTTCGGGATTATCTAAGAGCTTCTTGTTTTGTTAAAACATGACGTACGGTCAGGACTTCTTTCAGTCTCCTTGTTCCTCCTTAACAACTCTGTCAAATTAGATAGCATTAGGGGCTGCTCTGCAAGGTCATTATAAATAATGAGGATGGAAAAATTGTCATGACTCAAAATGCTTATGTGTTAACACATTTGCTTCTTGTAGAAAGCATACATCTTCATGCTTGAGTACAATGTTGTATCTTTGTGGTGAGAGAAGCAATTTATTCTTTAAGTGCTGAATGAGGTAAAATAAGCATAATGTGTCAGACCACTGTTTATTTACCAAACCCATTTTCTCCTCCTATTTTCCTTTTATCAGATGGAGAGGCTGCCCTCTAATTCTGCCATTCAAGAACTTAAAGGAATCATGGTAATGGGACTTTGAAGCCGTGTTTTGCTAGTTAAACTTTCCCTTTTTTTTCCTTCTGTGTTACGGAAATCTTTACTTTAGCATCTGTTTCTAGAAAAGTAGTCAAAAACAGTCTAGGTAGAAAGTACAAAACATTTATTTGATTGAGGTAATTAACTGGTTGGACATACATACATAACTAAATATCTGATTAAATGTTCTTTTAGTCGAGAATTCACAGTAAAATAAATTGAAGAATCACATTTATTTGCATTTAATATTCACAGTTATGTCCCTTATGTGTCCGACATGATATCTTGACCTGTCCAGGAGAATTTCAGCAAAACTCGCCCTCAGCCCAAAGCTGTGTCACCATCACCAGGCCAGGACGAAGAGCTGCAGAGGGTTCTTCTAAGAAGACGGGACATCCTGAAGTCCTAACATAACGCCACAAGTCATCCCCTCATCGTCTACATCATGAAATGTTTCTATCGTTAAGTTATTGGATTCATCCAGAAGTGTAATGTTTAGGTCCACGCAGCCTCAGTGGATAAGAGTCATGTAGTACAGGATGATCCCTTTGGTTACGTTCACACTGCAGCCTGACGTGACCCAAATCCGATTTTTTTATCCCACCTTTTTTTTCACACTTCCAAATGTACAGGACTTGTGAACGGGTAAATTACCTGAAAGTGTCCCGCATGTGCACTAGAGGGCGCAGTCGAAAAAAATCAGTAACGTCAAGTAACACATAGAGATCGTTCTCAGTGTTTTGCCAACTGCCATAAAGAAGAAGTGCTCAGTGATTGTGGAAGTAAACATAGATGCTAATGGTGGAGCATAGCTTATACATTTGAAGTTATTGTCCGACTGGAGCCAGAATATTGTCAACTTAATCCTCATTGTAGTCATTATTGTTAGTTGGACTTTTGGTCACATTTGAATTGGATATGTATCGGATATTCGGGTCGCAGTCGAAAAAAATACGACCTTTGTTGGTCAGGCTGTCATGAAAACTCCAGATTATGGGGGAAAAAAAAAATCGGAATTGGGTTACTTCAGGCTGCAGCCTTGGACTCAACAAACTTACTGTCTTACCTTCTGAGGACAAATAAAGAAAATTTAAGTCAATATTTTGGAAAGGTTTGGGTTTGGTTTTCTTTTCAGATTTTGTCCCCATTTCTTTCTGTACGAGTGAAACCTTATGGTTTTCTGTGGTTGGATGTGGAAGACAGTAGGTCACCTTTAGAGAGCTGCATTTTCTATTAAGTTAGATTCTAAGAATCCCTGATATACTTTACATATAAAAAGATCTCCACACATAAAAGAGGGAAAATAGAAACTGTTTGGGTCCCTTTGAACTAAAATGAATGACATTTATTGTGCTATTGATTTCCTCTGAGAGTCTTAGTCTGGTCAAATGAAAGTTATAAACGCAACGTCACTTTTTTGATGTTTATTAAACTCTTTTTTCGATCAGTGCACTTTTATTTGCTATGTTTTGAATAAGGTTTGGAATTTGTAGCCTTGAGCTTTTTTCAATGCATATTGTTTCGGTTTAGCTGGGATTGGGTCTGGCAGCCGTTCAGTGGGCTGCTATGGGTCATAGAGGATGTCATTCCTGCTCTTTATGCCATCATGTTTTTGGCAAGACATCCACTCAGCAGTATTTTATACTTGGTGACTTTTAAATATTTAAGTGTGCCGAAAACTATGCATCACCCTGAATCAGTGGTCAAACCACACAAGTTTACAGCTATCTTCAACAGAAAGGCTTGATGAGCAGCAACTTTGACTGATAGTGCTTTTGCCTGATGTTATTGACATAAAAATAATATCTGGTTTTATTAAAATCAGTAGCATACAATTTCCTTGCAATTTTGTTATTTTCCTGAAGCTGAGATTTTCTTTGCTGAATTTCTTTGAATAAAACCAAAATATAAATATAGCATGGTGCAGAAAATGTCTGCGTTCTGTGGGTCGCTTGTAGGAACCCACAGAACGCTCACAGAAACAAATCGATATTTTGCACAGCAAGAATTACAGGCAAATGATACAGTTAAAGCTGCGATAGGAACATTTGACAAAAATATGATTTTTATAAATGTGTTCAAACATTCACTGTACCCTCACAGTACAGGACAATAGTGAACAAATCCACTTCCTTTGGCTCCTCCCTACGCAGAAACACATCCCTCCTGGTCAGAAACAACCAATCTCTTGCATTAGTCATAGTGGGCAACATCTCTCTGCCTGGCTTCCTAACCAGATGGCCAGACAGAGATTTAAAGAGAAGCCTCAAAAGCAAATGAGGTGGATTAGCAACGCTAATTCTGCTGCTGCTGCTTGTCATGAAATGCTAACATCACCATATCCAGTCATGAGACTGTCACAGAGCAGCAACAGTCAAGGGCCTCCTCACATTCATTGCCAGTTTCTCCCAGGAGTTTTTGTAGATATCATTGACTCCTGTTGTGGTCTTTGCTACAGCAGTTCAGGAGAAGCCTCTGACTGAAGACACTGTTGGTGGATTACAACCTCACAAAGAGGACACCTTTTGTCTTTTGGTTATGTTTTTCATTTTATGCAAAAACCTTCATTGTGCAACAATCTCCAGAGGTTCCAGAGTCATCCCTAACACAGAAGCAGCCATTGTTTTTGTCAGGTTGTTGAGCTTTTTCATTGGCTCTGATCCTGCTAGATGACGGCAGAATACGACTCACTGAAGGTATTCACTGGAGGAACCTCTTCAGAAGCCAGGATGATTTTTAGTCCCTGTTGTTTCCACTAAAGGAAAAGGAACTCTAGGAACAAATCTGACAAAAGCAGTTAGGAATATATATTACACATGTGTGTATGTGCTCAGGGGTTAGATTTAGGACTATGGTGTGAATTGAGTATGGCTTAGGGTTAGGATAAGAGTAAGGTTTAGGATGTAGAAATGAATGGAAGTCAATGGAAAGTCCTCACAAAAATAGCCACGCAAACATGCATGTGTGTGTGTGTGTGTGTGTGTGTGTGTGTGTGTGTGTGTGTGTAGGTGTGTGTGCGTGTGTGTGTGTGTGTGTGTGTGTGTGTGTGTGTGCGTGTAATCAGTAATTATTACCACCTTTTCAACCACTGAGAATTTTCATAATTACAGAGATCAGACTAAAATATCTGCTGGCTGTTTTGTTACAGTGTCTTTGGCTGGATTTCCCCTCAAAGCTCCAGCTAGTGATGGCTTTTAGTCAGGTTTAGACCAGAGGATCAGCCTGCATCCTTTGAATGCAACAATGGCCAGACTGCTGATTAAACCACACTGTTAGGCTTTCCTGGTTCAGTTTTGTTTTCCCTGACACCTGCCCAGACTTCCCAGATTCCTGCTCCGGCGAGGAAGTGAAACATGAGAGCTGTGAACTATGACAGATGTCCCTCACCTATTGTGTTGGGCTGTTAATTAAAGCTTTAAGCTTCATTTAGCACTGAGATACAATTTCCTCCCCAACCGATCCACCTAACACAGTTTGTGGACGAATGTAACTGAAGTCTCTCTGACCAGAGTCAGCGGCAGCACGTTTTGAAGTTCACAATTATTAGTTTCCTTTTTCTTCCATGCTACAGAAACAATGTTACACAGAGACACACACGCACGCACGCACACACACACACACACACACACACACACACACACACACACACTTTGTCTGTGGGTGCAAAAGCAGAATATTAGCAGCGTGTCTGTAAAGTCAGGGTGAAGGTGTGTGAACAAACAGCATACAGAGTGCGTGTTACAGCGGAATAACTTGTAGATTATCCTGGATACCATATTGAAGGACGGCGTTAAAACAGTCAACCTTCCTATGACATGAAATGAAACTAAGGTTGTTTGTGTTGGTTTATGTTGCTGCCTCATTAAATCCTCCACTACTAAAGATGTTTTTGTGGCTAAGGCCGTCCTTTAGGCTCAACAGTAAGGCCATATTTAATAACAGCTTTGAGGAGTGACTCTCTACTGTTTCCCTCTTTTATGAGCTGACAACTTGCTTCGTTCTTTCCCTCTGCAATCTACTAAAACCCGCCAGACTTGGTGACTTTAATTATCAGATATACACACGTTTTGATCGAGGCAAAACATACAATTACACGAGCCGTGCTGCTGTGTCCTTTTTTTCCCCTCTGCCTGGTTGCCGCTGCCACACCTCTGATCGTCGTTAATCAACACAGCAATGGAATAAATTGTTTTGTTGTTTTTCGTTTGTTTTCTTCCCTAATTGCTATAAGGGAACAGCAATTAGGGAGGTTTTTTGTGTGTGTGTGTGTTGTGGGAATACTTAACTTGACCTGTTTAGTCAGTAATTTTATTAACTTTTCCACAACACACAGTGCCTGCCCGCTGTGGGCCCCTCACTCACACACAGCTGTGTGTCCAGCCTTTGCTGGTCTCTGCATATTTTGTTGATTAAAGGTTTGTTCTCTGACATTTACGGCAAAACTGTATAAAAACAGTCAAGAAGTTAAACTGAGTGCAGCCAATGACGTGTGTAATTTAATTTTATTTAAAAGCCAACCTAACATTTACTGAGAAAGAAGAAGAAAAAAAAACAGGTCTTGTTTTACTCAAAGTGCCCAATGAAACAGTTACCCTACCATTATTGAAACATTTCAATTTTGACCATTTCAATTTTAGTCTGTTTGTGGATCTTGCATAACACAATGTTAGACTTTATATAGTTTTTTTCACCTGCTTCTCCTTCATTTGGATATTTTTCAGTGAAGCAAGATGGTGCTGCTAATTTGGCACAGATGGAACTATTTTAGAACCTGACAATACAGGCAGAAGAGTAAATGCATACCAACAAGACCAAGATTTACATAGGTTGAAAGCAAATTGCTTACTTGGAAGCAACACGGGGGATCCGGAGAACCGTGGTGGAAGGAAATCAGTAAGAGCACACTCAACCCGGAAACCACTAAAACTCAACCACAACTTTAGGAACGGAGGTTCGTCTGGTGTTTCATGAGGCAGTGGGACATTACAAAGGTGGGAAATAAGCCGAAGGACTTTTTTCTTTTTTCTTTTTTTTTTGGCGTAAGATCCTTCAGCTGAGACGATGAAGCAGAATCTCCAGTTCAGCTGGAAGAAACTCGGGGGGGAATAAAAATCAAAGAATGCCAAAAATCACTGGAAGCTTTTAAAACTTTATTTTCACCTCAATCATAACATGTTTTTATTTGCTGCAAAATAAATTCATAAATTGTTTCCAAAGAGAACTGAACTGCTATTTTCTATCTTCACTCTGCTCTGTTCACTTACAGTTTATTGGCTGTTGATATGCTTGAACATTTTGTGTGGTCTTTCATTGAACACATGAATAAAACAGATGTTTTCCACTCTTGCTTTATCAGAAGTGGTTTGGATTGAGTTTCATATTGAGGCTAAAAAAATAAATAAATAAAAAGGCTAAAAGAACATGCAGATTAATGCCGACCACTGAGTGAGCTGTATTAGTGCTCACAAGTAACAACAGTAGGAAAACTGGGAACTGATTTGTGTGGCAGGTTTTCAAGGCTTGTTTAAACAGGACAGACTGTTGGCTGAGTCATATGGTTTCCTCTGCTGTAGCCGGCTGCTCCTTTGGCTTTTCGCTGAAGAGCGGCGGTTCCTTACAGACTGGGGACAAGACCAAAATAACAGAATTAGCTAAACATTGCAAATCTTTACTAAACATACACATACACTCTTTTTCTGTTTCTCAGTCAACTCTGAAGTCAGCAAAAAGTATCAAGACAAACAGTAAAGACTGGAAAGCCGTCCTGACTACAGCTGTCTTATGGCTTTTGATTAGACTCACATACTCAATCCTCATTAAACCTCTGGTGTCCCCGCCTGCTTTTCCAGAAATGATGAATGGGAACTTATTTGTCCTCGTGTGTAATTAAGTGGCCAATTAACAGATTGAAGGTAGGGGAGGGGGGGGTGGTTCTCATTCTTCCACTCTACCCCACACCAATACATGTTTGCATGATTCCTCACACACAGGATCCTTTCACATCCAGCACACAGACAGAAATGTGTTCTCAAGCTCAGACCTCACTTTTCCCTGCTTTGTGAGCGCCTCCTTCTCTGTCCAGCTAAAGAAGTCAGAGAAGAACAGAAAAACACCTACCCAGAAGTCCTTGTTGGGCCAGTTCTTCTTCTATTGATATTAGGCGATTGTATTTAGCCATCGTCTCAGCGCCTCCCAGACCTCCCAGTTTGACATAGTCCAGCCCCAGTCCCACAGCCTGAGGGAGAAGAGAAAGTTTCAGGGAGGTGCAAAGGTTTTCCATCCATCCATCCATCCATCCATCCATCCATCCATCCATCCATCCATCCATCCATCCATCCATCCATCCATCCATCCATCCATTCATTCATTCATTCATTCATTCATTCATTCATTTTCTAACACACTTGTTCCAAGTGGGGTCACCAGGGGTGCTGGTGCCTATCTCCAGTGGG